GGTATCATTGGCCGTATTAGCCTTTGCCACTTGCCCATTCCTTCTGGAACGCTGGCAGAAAGAGAATCTGAAATCAAGTGAGTCTTCTCAAGCGAGAAAAGAGATTGTAGGAAATATCTATGGTGTGCAGATTATTAGCATTGTTCAGAAAGCCCATTTCCTTGGACATGCATCAGTCTCTACCATGGTTCATTGCTTAAGGTCAGTTGCAAGGGCTTTGCTAGTCTCATCAACTCGCCATTGAAACGCCGCTCAACCAGGTGTCCGTTGAGTTCTAAGATTCCTTTTTTTAACGCCAGAATAATACTCCAGTGTTAGTCTTTGCAGTCTGTTTGGAAACAGCCATGACCAGAGAACAGGCATGGTCAGGAAGGAAACAGAAGGTGTCTTTGGACGTTGAGTATCGCAGACAGCCTATCCATTTAGAAGGGGCCTCTGTTTTGGTGCAGAAACCGAACCTTACATGTAGACATCCTTAGGTCAGCAAGAAGAGATTTGATTTTGTTTACCAGGTAGCAGGGAATACATGATGAGCTTTACATTTCCATAAGTCACAGGGAAAATAACCCTTGTGATAAGTTAGTTGCAAAAAAATGTCATTGAGGTGTTCTAGATTTATGACATTACAGATGGTGACGTTTCTGGATAGCTAGTTTTGTAATGCTGTTACAACCTGATTGATTCCTCTGACCTGGAGTTATTGACTGATATTTTTTTTTGGAAATCTAATGAAGTTTCTGGACTCTTTTTCAAGGGAAAAGAAAACACATATTACTTTTCACTTATAATTTTAGGGAGTTCATTTATCTCCCAAAGCTCAGCTATGGACTGACTGCACGTTAAAACGTCTGATCTGTCTACTCTGTGATAGTAGGCTGTCCGACAAAACAATTATACTTTCTCTTAATACCAAGTTTGTTTTCTATATTACAGCCAATTGAAAAACAGTTCATGTGGCACTTAAGAGCTTGCACTCGGGAAGCAAGCAAACCTGGGTGCATAAATAAGTCCTGGGAATGTAATGTACAGCGTAGGGAATATATTCAATAGTAGTGTAATAACTTTGTAAGGTGACAGATGGTTACTTATTGCGGTAATCACTTCACAAGATACATGTATAAATGTCAAGCCACCATGTTGTACATCTGAAACTAATATATTGTGTGTCAATTCTACTTTAATATTAAAAATAAATTAATTAAATAAAGTTTAGTGAAAACCTCTTTAATTTGAAAACACGGACTGCACCCTTTGCCTTTGCCTTATGTGTAACGTAACCCTAAATTTTTGAGGTTGTTCTGTAGAGTAGACTTAATGTTGTGAATCTTTATTCTCCCATTTTCACTTCTGGAGGCTTAAGAAAAGATGTATTTATTTGGATTGACTGTGAAAACAATAATCATCAATATGGTTTCAGCGTTTTCTCTGTGCTCATTCTGTGCGCATCTTTTCTCAGTTTGCCATCTCATTTGCATGGACCTGACGATGCCGAGTATGGATATTGCTGAGGAGTGATAGCTTCCCTTCCATATTGAAGCGGAAGCTTCAAAGGGAAGATTAAAGAAGTGTTTGTTATCTATCTGCGCAGGCCTGATGTGAAATTCTCAGAGGTTTTTAGGATAAACACGACTCTCTGTGTGTTTGTATGAGTTTTTTTTGTCTTTCATATACTTCTATTGTCGTCTTTGTGTTCGGTTCAAAATTTCTATTTTCAGACTTGTTGGTGTCTCTGGCTAAGGGATGATTGTTTTTCAAGCGAAGGGTACACATTAGAAGATGCTGGCAGGGTTCGACTACATGCCTCCTAGAGAGTGTAGAATTCTGTAGCGCGGACTCGTCTTCCCAGGGAACGTGACGCAGGACGCCCTCAGGAAACGTTTCACGAGACGAGGTGAAGACCTTGGGTGTGTCCTGCAGAGAACAGTCCACGGCGCCCTCCAGCGAAGGACGAGGTTGCTCACCTTTTGGCCTTGGCTTTTAGCGGTATCTTCTGTGAACTGTGGGATAAACGTGTGTGTGTGTGTGAGAGAGAGAATAGACTTTCTTTAGCATTTGCTAATGAATACTTAGAGTAAGAGGAGCGGGGGAAAAAAGGTAGCAGGACAGTTTTACACCTTCTGAAAAAGAAGGGAGCTAACATTCCTCTCTGTGTCATCCCATGTCCGCTTTACAGATGGTTTTTATTTGTGGAAATATTTCATTGCAGTGCCTTCAAGAATAAAGCAGATTCCTGGCTGGCGTAGCTCAGTGGATTGAGTGTGGACTGCGAACCAAAGTGTTGTAGGTTCGATTCCCAGTCAGGGCATATGCCTGGGTTGCGGGCCACAGCCCCCAGCAACCGCACATTGATGTTTCTCTCTCTCTTTCTCCCTCCCCTCCCTCTCTAAAAATAAAATAAAATCTTTAAAAAAAGAATAAAGCAGATTCTGCTATTTAACATCAAGATAGACCAGCTACTTTACTTGAAACTGATAAATCTGACATTTCTCCATAATCATCCTCCTTAAGACACAGCTACCATGGGCAGAAGTTCACTCTTAGTGTATGTGAACTTATCTTTTCAAGTAGCAAGAGGAGCCAGAAGACCAGGGGCCCATTGCGGTAGGCAGAGAAGGGAACTGAAAATCTGTGTGTGAGTCGGAGTGGGGCTTATGGGGAGACAGGCCAAAGAAGAGGCTGAAATCATTAATAACATATTTTACCTCCTTAACAACGTTCCAAGAGCTGGCCATTTAACCGCTGCTGCCTGGTAGATGTTTTCCTGGGTAACTCGTGACAACATTGGTTATCAAAGCTCCTGCCGTTGCCACCGTTCACACTTCGGGAAGAGGAGTACACGCACACACCTGCATACGCTCACACCCTAATTTCTATTCATATTGACTTAGAGGTCGGGTAATGATTGGAATGGTGGGGGGGTAGGGCAGTGCCTCAGAAGAAGATGGAAATCAGTACGAGAAGCTGTCAAATGCCTCAGCCCTTTGATGATGAGCTCGATTAGCTGCATTTTACAGAGAGGGTGTTTATGGAGAACTCCTCTCAGTGGCCAGGGACAGAGTGCAGCCCCACTGTCTGCTGAGTGGAGATCGACCCGTCATGCCCTCGTGCTAACACATACAACGTATTCACAAGTGACGGCCAGTTCCTGTTTGCACGTCCCTCCCTCCACGCGGGTGCCTTCCCAGCTGTTGCAACTTTACATTTGTCCACCCTTCCCTCCTCGTATTCCCTCTCCCCTTTTCCACTGCGGACGTCAGAGCTGTCCTGGACTCTCCCTGCCGTCTAACCCCAGCCTCCCACATGGCACTTCACCTGCTTGTCAGCCCGGAACTCTTCTAGGGAAGGAAGAAGAAAAGCCAGTAGTGAGGTTGCTTCTCCACCTTCTCTTCCTCTGATAATTTACCGTAGATTCATCTCTGGATTATGGCAGCATCCTCCCCACCAGTCTTCCTCTCCATTCTTAACTTTTGACCTTATTAAGAAATAACTCTTAGGTACTCACTGGATTGACGTTCCTCCCTAAAGTGAGCACACATTATTTCAGTCACACATGTCCCGCGAGACACGCCGTTACCATCTATGTATTGCCCTTTGGTTCATCTTTTTTGGGTTATGGATTTGTTTAAGAATTTGATAAAAACTGTGACTCTATGCCCTGGCTGGCATAGTTTAGTGGACTGAGCGCGGGCTTCGAACCAAAGCGTCGCAGGTTCGATTCCCAGTCAGGGCACATGCCTGGATTGCAGGCCACGGCCCCCAGCAACAGCACATTGATGTTTCTTTCTCTCTCTCTTTCTCCCTCCCTTCCTCTCCCTAAAAATAAATAAATAAAATCTTAAAAAAATGTCAAAAAAAAACTCCCTGTGACTCTCTAGAGGGAGGTGGGGAGGGGATGGTCACGGGCACGTTCACTCCTGAGAGGTCGAGATGAGGATGGAAAACTGCTCATTCTGCTGAGTGGCATGGAGGTCTCCGTGTCCACAGCAGGAATTCGCAAGTGGTGACTGTAAGCAAAATTGGAGCATGTTGAGGCGTCAGTAGGAGGTGAGGAGATCAAGAGAGAAACTGCGGACCACACTTCTGCAGATTTCACTGTGGTGTGAGGGGAAAGAGGACAGCAGACAGAGGTGTATGCAGGGGTGAGGGAGGGTTTGCTTTACTTTTGTATCAGCATAAACGCTGGTGAAAAGGGCCGAGTTGAGAGGAAGAGGTTGAATATACACAGGAGAAAATCAATGCAGAAATAATGTGAGGTTCCTGTGAAGACAGGAGGAAATGGAGCCCAAAGTACGAGACAGACTGTTGTGGGCAGCCACCACATCAAACAGTGTTTCTGGGGGGGAAACGCAGTTCAGATTCCAAACACGTCACTTACACAGGACCCTTCCCACCACTGCCATTTCATTAGTTTTAAGACTTTAATGGTTATTGGTTTTGCCAGTCACTTCCCAAAATAAAAAAGGAGATGGCAGACTTCGAGGGACACTAAAATGTTTGACGACCTTGAGTCAGTTGTTGGAGCTTCATCTATAAAATTAAGACTTTAGGCCTAGAAGTATTGGGGGATGTGCTGGGGGCAATGTTTTGGTTATTGTGACAGCCAGAGGGGCCACTGGCATTTGATGCCCAGGACCAGTGACGCCGATTGTCCTGTCATACACAACGCAGGTTGTCACGGCGAAGAACTGTCCTGCCCAGCGCCTGCAGAGCGAGCGCCTGATGAGACACCCCGGACCGTGGCTAGCAAACCTCCTAGGGCATTTCCGGCAGCGTGGTCAGAATCATCCAAGGGGCCAAGGCGGGATGAATGCTGCTTTCGAGCCTTTGAGAATCTTCGAATCTCAGGGAACAACCCTTAGGTTTTTCTCAAAGTGGGTGGTGGCTTTATCTAGTTAGTATTTCGCAAGCTTTCCGGACCAGGTGCTGTAGCTACTGCATGCCAACCCAGATCGGAAAATACAGGTGTGACTTACCTCTCTGTTCTCTTCCTTGTATTTCAGATACTACTGGGATTTGCAGCCCCAAGGTGAGTACGCTGACCTTTCATGGTTTACACTAAGAATGTGGGGATGATATTGTTTACTTCTGTCCCTTCTAAATAAGCTCCTCCACAGAGCGGCATTAGCCATTTCGGAGGAGAGTTAGTGGAGTGTTTAATTAACCTTCATCCTGCTGGGCCCCCCTGCCCTGCTTTTCAGCAACAAGAGGCTCTCCGATGCTTCATCTTTCTGAGTGGATTGGCGCTAGATTATTTTGTAGAACTAAAACGATAATAAGCTTTCATTCCTTGAGCCGTGTTAGACGCCAACAGGACCTACCAGCATTCGAATAAAATGGTGGCCAAGTCCGCAATAAAAACCCTGGGAGGGCTCCAACCCAACTAACCCCTCATTCGCGCCAGAAATAAATTCCGGTGTGTTCCCTCCTCGACCACAGTGCTCTTCCGCACGGCCCGCCTGTCTGGCAGAAGAGAAATGTCAGAAATGGAGCCGTGGTGAAATTCCCACTAGGACCGTGTTATCACATTTTAATATGAGCCTCGCTGCAGCCTCGGTGCCTCTAATTGCTTTCAACCCATTGTCTCCCTGCTTTTGCTTGATGAACCCAGCATCTGGCGTGATTCTGAAAAGTACAACAGACAGCTGTGTGCAAGATTTAAAAAAAAAAAAAGAAGGATGGGATTGGAACACATTTTTAAAAGGTTCAAATTAGAATATTTCTTTTTCTGAATTCAAACCGTTTGAGGGGGTGTCTTTCAACGGTGTGCATCCCTTCCTTTCAGGGCTCAGGTTTGGAATGTCAGGAACATCATCCTGAATGTTAATTGTCTTGTTAGAAATGAACATTTTTATTTTTCTCAGATAATCACAGAGAACAATAAATCAAATTTGTAACTATGAATTATTTTGCTTTTACAACTTTTTAAACCAATTCTAAACTTTTTTCTCATTCTTTTTACTCTTAATATTGTCACTGTACCCCATTTCAGTGAACAGTCATGCCTTAAAGAAATGTAAATTATAAATGATGATACTGTGTTTATGAAAATTTTCATTTTCCTAGCTCATGCTTTGCTTTTGTGTACTTCAATTTTTTTAAAAGTCAACTTTAACAAATAAAAATATATTTTTAAAGTTTCTTGAAAAGTCACACTATTTATGGTATTTTAAATAATATAATGTGTTTTTACCATCTGTATCACTGTCCTAAAGCATTCGTGGCTAAAAGCATAGACTGAAATGGAGGATTATATGTAATAATGCAGCAGTTTGCTTTGTAGGATGTGAAATATGCTGTTCAGGGAATGGCCCTACAGTTCAGGGCTTAACAGATGTTAACCAAAGTCCACAGGGGCCGAAACACGAGTGTGAACTGGCAGAAATGAATGGAACCGTGAGGGTAGAATTAATTACCTAAAGGAGAAATAAAGAACCAGTGTCAGCGACGTGGTATAATAATATGTGGAGAAGAGAAAATAATTTTGGAGCTCAACACAGGAGACTCTGTGGGGCTAGAAAGACAAAGGGCTCGTATTACCAGACTCTTGTAGCAGCCACACTGCCGCCATCATCCCCCAGCACCGGGCGGCCTCTGCACAGCCTTCCTGGTGGACAGAGGGCGGAGGTAGCGCAGCCAGGGAGACCACGGGAAAGAGTTTATTTAGAGCAGAAGACTCTTTGCTTCTTGACCATGGTCGAATGTGTGCAGCAAAGTCTTTGCTCATGTGGAAAGAAAATGGAAGGAAAGATCAAGTAGAAAAACCCATAGCCGTGTGTCTCTCCCCAGCTTTGCTCCTCCTCTTAAGACATTTTTGGGGGGGGGCGCGGTGCGGAATCTCTTACCTTGCCCTTTTGATCAGGTCCTGGTTCACTGGGTGCTTCAGAAACCGGTAGAGTGGGTGGAAGTGGTAACAGGTCTGTATAAGGTTCTATAGCCCAGTTTTGGATCGTGAAAAGAACAGGAATCTATAAGAAAGAGATCAGCTGGCGGAAGAATTTTAAAAGCCCTGGAAAACTAGGTGGTACTGGGAAGGGAGTGAGGAAGCCCAGAATGATGGTCCCAAACTTTGCTGGCATTTTTGTCGATGGCAGGAGCACCTGTGTAGGAATACGATGGAATGCATTTTATTACCTCTGCACACTAAATATGGATTTGTGTCCATCGGGATATTTGGACTAAACCAGAATCTGGTGCTTGGGAGGAAAATGGTCCTTAATTATAAAAGATCCCGTGTCTATAAAGCCCTCTAGTAGCAAATGTGTAAACATCTGTTTACGGTGATGATCCAGGACAATAGGCGGAAGGAATAACCTTTAAAGAATGACGCTTGCCCAGATGGAGGGAAGGATTGAAAGCAAAGTTTTTCTTTTTTTTTTTTAAACATCACCACACACTTGGTTTCTTTTTTAAGATTTAATTTATTTATTTTTAGGGAGGGAAGGGAGAGAGAGAGAGAGAAACATCAATGTGCGGTTGCTGGGGGTTATGGCCTGCAACCCAGGAATGTACCCTGGCTGGGAATCGAACCTGGGACACTTTGGTTCCCAGCCCGCGCTCAATCCACTGAGCTACGCCAGCCAGGGCTGAAAGCAAAGTTTTTCTTATCAACCCCAGGTTTTCCATTCAATCCAAGGATCAATGTGCTGAAGGAGTAACCATTTAATAGTATTAGGGAGGGTCTTCTCCCTGTTCTTGAAAAGAAGCATGCATGGTAGAAAGAACATAAATGTTGAGGCTTGGCAGACCCAGGTTCAAAGCCCAACTACACTATTGAGCTGAAGGTCATTTGACCTTAGCAAGTTGCTTAATCTCTCTCATCCTCGGCTTTCTCATCTATAAAACAGGGATGTGCCAGACACTGTGATAAGTCCTTTGCATGCATTATCTTATTTAACCCTCAGAACATCCCCATGAAATAGGTGCTGTTAATATACCCATGGACAGATTTGTGTACTGAGGTACAGAGAGGTTAAGAGACTTGATCAAGGTCGTGCCTCTCAAGGATTCTAATTTGGTCAGTCTAGTTCTGTAGGATACATTTAAAAAGAAAATATATATATATATAGACATTTATTGAGATATAATTCACATACCATCAAATTCACCCTTTTAAAGTATATGTCAGTGGTTTTTAGTACAGTCACTGAGCTGTGTAACTATTACCATTATTAATTTCAGAACATTTTCATTACCCTAATAAGAAGCCCTAGCCCTGGCTGGCGTAGCTCAGTGGATTGAGCGCAGGCTGGGAACCAAAGTGTCCCAGGTTCGATTCCCAGCCAGGGTACATTCCTGGGTTGCAGGCCAGAACCCCCAGCAACCACACATTGATGTTTCTCTCTCTCTCTCTATCTCCCTCCCTTCCCTCTCTAAAAAAATAAATAAATAAAATCTTAAAAAAAAAAAAAAAAAGAAGCCCTGTACTCGTTAGTAGTTCCAGAGTCCATACTCTTCATGACTAAATCTTACTGTCTCACTGCAGGGTTGTTACACGAACTTGTAGTAATAGGGGTAAGCCCTAGCACAAAACCTAGACATTGTAAACAGTAAGAAAATGTAGTTTAAATCCATGATAGTGTTAATGGTAATTCTTTTCCCTTCAACATTTCCACCGGAATTTTCTTATTGGACCACTGTCAACTTCCTGAATTATGTTCATTAAAAAAGAATGAAGCACAGGAAAAACAAAACACAATCAAAATATTTATTAGTTACTGTAGAAGGAACATAAATGAAAGACCTCTTTGAATGAGCTCAATTGTGATTGGAGAACATGGGAAAGCCTCATTTTCATTTCTAGTAAGACACAGATTCATTTGCTATTTCCAGTTGTGCTTCCTTTAAGGACTTTTTGTCTACTTAATTTGCATTTAAAGTTGCAAAGAAAACTCACTGGATTCTTCACCGTGGAACTTGTACCGTTTCAGCGATCAGACGTCTCGACGATGACTGGTCAGACACCCAAACAACAGTACTAGCTCTGCCCTTTAGATACGACGGCATTGCCATTCTATGGCATCGAGAGAACTGATATACTTCATTTAGTTTAGTTCCCCCTTTGGTAAAATAAGTTAATTGTTGACAGTTATTGTTTAATCCAAAATTCAAATTATAACTTGACATTTAAATTTCATGGCAATGAAAACATCTTCATAATATTAGAAAAATTGCCATCGTGGACCCAGAGTCTTAAACAAATGACACAATAGTTCAATAAAAAATCTTAAAAGACTATGAAAACATTGAAGTATATCTAACAAAATCCTTTTTTTTTTGGTCCAGTGGCCACTCATACCACATTTGTGATAGTGGTAAATACGGGCCAGCAAAATTTCTTGCCAACGTGAAGGTTCTGCATGGATAGCATAGAGGGTTTCTGAGAACATTATTCAGTATATTTCAATATGAAGATTTTTTCACTGCATGAATATTAAAAAGCTTGTTTTGAAATGGCAAGCCTATATCCCTTGTCAAAGTAAATTTATCCCTAGAAATATAGCTTGCCAAAAGCAAATAGTGCAAAGTGAGTAAGAAGATGTTATTATAAAGCCACATTAACTATAGATTAAAAGAGATTTAAAAGAAATATCAAGTAACATGTGGACCTTATTTGCATCCCAAGTCAAACAATAAAAAGCGATATCTATGAGAGAATTAGACATTTGAACACTGGCTGGACATTTTATGTTATTAAGGAACTACTCTTAATTTTTTAGGTGTGACAATGGTATTATGCTTATTTTTTAAAAGCCCTTATCTTAGAATAAGAATAAGAGCCCTTATTCTTTTGCTGTGATATTTAAAGATAAAGCGGCAGATGGCTGACATGTTATTCAGAATAACATGGAAGGGGAGTGGAAAAAGTGGGTGGGGGTCATGGATTGACTTTTACGGAAGCCGGACAATGTGCACACGGGAGCTTCTTACACCGTTTTGTCTACTTTTGTACATGTTTAAAATAACCATGATGCAAAGATAAAAGCAAAAGAAATACAGGGTGAGATGAAGAAAAAAATGTGACATTAT